GGGATTATGAGCATCACTTAACTGCTCTGCTTTTACAGAACAGACTTTTCCTCTTCTAATAACATTAATTATGAAGCATATGTATTCTGAGATGACATAATGGATGCCATTGTTCCATTTATGAAAACATTTGATGTTTACTAGTGTTGGTGAAGGGCAGCATATTGCATAGTCCTGTTATACCTAATTTTCTGTTGTACATAATACAGCACTATTTCAGACACACTTTATTTGAATGCCAGTAGAACGCCACTGTTTTCTTCTTCACATTACATACAGTAAAAAACTATTCCCACTTTTATTATAATCAGGAAATCAAAGTACACCTCATCTCATGCCTTCATTATTATAGAAAATATATATATTTTCTATATATAGAATATATAGAAAATATATATCACATATAGAGTGATGGCCTTCTTCAGCCTAGTGAGTATTCTTTCCAAACAAAATCAGTCTGATTTTCAACATCTGAAAGTTCCACATTATTACTTTTTCTCCAAGAGGTCTCCTGGCTTTTATCCCCTGCAGAACTAATTTGGACTAAACAAAGACATAAGCAAACTTATCAAGTGTCTGGGATGAACATAAGAGCTGGTAGATGGCAACAGCTACAGAGAATAGAGATCCATTTTCAAAACAATCATAAACACTTACATCTTCTCATCCTTTTTCCTCTGAGAAATGTAGATGGGAGCCTTTCAGTTTGGTCCTGGATGTGCAAATACAGCTATATTATTAAGACCACTGAAAATTAGTATTTTTCAGTTTTGGTATTTTGTTCTTGTTACCATAAGCAAATGAAACCAGCAGACAAAAGCCTCTTTCACTGACAAAAAGCTCTCACATATCAAAAATCTCTTTCTACAGAATGATAAAATTACATCAAATATTTTTTGCCTCCATTCAGAAGGTTATTAGTCTAAGATTTGAATAATTCCTAGAATTTTACTGGTGTCCCCTCACCCCTATATTATTGATGCAGATTTTCTGGGATGTTCCCAATTTCCACCCCATTCTAAACTAATGGAAATGTTTGGTATTAAGAACGATTTTTCAGTTACTATAAGGAGAACAAAATTTAGAATAATGTAGAGACTGAATACACCTCACTACTTTAGAAACTGAAGATCCCTTTTTCTCAGATGTGTAAATCTGAACAGATTCTATCAGGTTCAAAGCTTAAGTAAAGAACATATTCTACAAGTTTTGTCATTTGAGCTGCATTTAGCCATTTCTGAAATCTTGTGAATAAAACATTCCCTGCCTCTGCCTTACAAGCAAGGAAGCATTGATTTGGAGACAAGTGCTTCGAGATGTGCTCTACTGTTCATCACTCTGAGGTACTAAATTGCAGACAGCCCTATAATGTTTTGCTCCCTCATGCCCATCCTTAACAAACTCTTTTATAGAAGGTTTAAATTATTAATATTGCAACAATAAAGCTCACAGCTACTACTCATCTCCTTAGCTGGCTGCTGGATAAAATTCTCTCCCCACAGTGGTGGGCACAGTAGTAATACATTAGCAGACTGGGTTAAAGACGAATCTCACAAAAATGGTGGATATGAAAGAAGTGAAAATAATAGCTCTGAAAAAAACTTGGAAACTGTTGATGTTAAGTGTGTCTAAAGCACTGCAATTCAGGAAGGACCTTAAGGGTGCTCCTTGTATTGTCAGTGAATGTTTAGTTTTGGTTTCCTTTGAATGATCTCTCTGCAAATGAAAAAAACAACCAAAATGCAAGCTTTGTTTCCTGAACTGAGAAGTATCTTTGAGCCTTTTACGCACACACCTTTTGAAAATGTCTTTTCAGTCCGCAGTTCTATTTTGGCTTGGACTCAGCCTTGTGTGACACATCTTTAAAATTGTTTTGAGTTAGGGATACATATATATTTAGCTTAGTACTGGCTGAAGATTATCCTGTTTCTAGTGCTCTATGCAAGATGGATCCAGTCCATGAAAAATACCTTTCTAATAGAGAGAAATCTATCCAGTTTTATTATTTTGAGAAAGAGATTGTTTTCTGAGTCCAGTAGGGCTTGTCTTGCCACCTCATTGAAGGGTGACTCCATTAACCTTCATGATTTGGGAAGTATGAACAAAGGCTACTGCTGCAGTGAGTGCTCTTTCGATAAAAGAATGCTAAGAGTCTGCAAAGTGCAGGGTTACTATCCTGTCCATTTTTATTGTAAGTAGATGTGCTCCTTAATGGGGCTCTGTAGGAAAAAAAAAAATCCCTTTTCAAATGCCATTAGTCCACAGCTGCTGTGATGTCCAGCCCCCAGCTAGACTGGGCACCACCCTGCCTGCCCTGGGGTCTGTGGCTGGTGTGCCCAGCTCTGTGGAATGGAATGGAATGGAACAGAAGAATAAATTATTTTCATTGGAAGGGACCTCCAATGGTCACCTAGTCCAAGTGTGTGACCAGTTCAGGGCTGACCAAAAATTAAAGAAGTTATTAAGCATAGTCTTGTTACTAAGGGCCTGTGTACTTACATGCCCATAAGCTGTATATTTTCCTCCTTGAAGCCAAGCAGATCATGACTGCAATTATTCTTTGGAGGCAATCAAGGGAAATTACAGATATGGAGGAAAAGCAAGCATTTATTTTAACCCTGTGCTGTAAAGTGTGTGACCATTAGGATGGTCATATATAGCCTTCCTCTTCCCTCCCTGTAGGCTGTATTACACATGTTGTCACTGCAGCTCATGTTCAGAGACTGTGTTGTGTACCTAATGCTTCACAGTCACTCGAGTCATCATTAAGGGTTGAACCCAGAACATTTTTGTGAGTTTGTGTCAATGAATTCAAGAAGGTTATGCTAGGCCCAGATGTTTTTGGTGTTCAGAATGATGTTTAGGGAAAATCCCACCAAACAAGGTCATTCTGGTGTCCTGAGCTAAGCAGAAGAAACTATTAATGTTCCATGTGAGGATCCAGAAATGACCTCTGTGTTAAGAAATGTAGAAGCACAACTATTCATGTAGTAGTTTTTGAATGCTAAGAAGTTATATGGTAGGAAATAGATTAAATTCTTACTGTTATCAGCATACTAGTATAATGTAATATGACAATATTTTACCTCATTTGATGGGTTTTTAAAATTTCTATCTTAGAAGCCAAGTGATGTGAGACTTCTTTTCTGTGCTACCTTCTACTGAATACTTAGTCTGAGAAATTGTAGGACTCTGGGTCAGAAGACAATCACTGAGATCTCTCTAGTAGCTAGAAAGTCTGTAATTTTGTTCTGTATTTATCTCCCAAAGTGGCCAGGAGGCAAGAACAGGGTCTCCCAGTTGCCAGCAGGTTCCCTGGCATCTCTTCTGGTTCAAGACGCTCTGGGGTTTGGACTGGGATTAGCACAGTTGGTCAGACCCAAGTGCTAATAACACCAAGGCTGTGGGTTCAACCCCTGTGTGGGCCGTTCACTTCAAAGCTGCACTTGATGATCCTTGTGGGTCCCTTCCAAATCAGAATATTCCACGATTCTGAACTAAAAATGCTCTTCTGGAGCAGGAGCTGTCAGAGCTGTCCTTACCTAGGCTTTCCAGCAAGGTCTGTATGTGAAAGGATTTGACTCTGTAGCTCTTGGAAATATATAGCCTCTCCAAGCATCCATCTGCCCTCCTATGAAATAGCAACAAAAAAGCACATATTCACAATGATATTTCAGGGGTTAAGTAATTAATGTGTTGAGTAGCTTAATGCAGAAGCACTTTGTATGATTAAGTACTTATGTACTTAATTAGTTTCAGAATTTGATAATGTTCTTTGTGGTCTCCTGCTGTGGTTCATTTAGAACTTCAGCTTGGTCTTTCCACGGGACACACAAAGGATGTTGTGCCCAGAACACAACTACAGCCCTGGTTTCAGTCCCACCAAAAGCAACAGGACACATTAGCTATTGGGGATTTTTAGTTTCTTTGCAAAAATATTGGAACCCAGAGGAAATACTAATGCTATTGGGCCGGACTGTGCTCATGATTGTTCATAATTCAAAAGCAAATACTTCTTTTCCTAGCACTTCTCTTGATCCTTGGGGCTAAAAGCCTATGCCGAAGAGACACAGACAGGCCCAATTCCTGAATCTAACTGCAGAAATAAAGTGATTTTATGTGGTTTTGCAAGTTTGTACACCTGCACAATCATGGCTTAGTTTTCCAAGCAACTCTTCTTGCTGAAGATATTGCAGATACGGCCCTCAAAAATGCGGTGCTGACTGCAAAATAGCTGGTAATCCCAAGAGAAAAAAGGGATCACTGTCCTTGTACATCTCAGGCATAAAGAGAACTCTTTGGTGGACATTGCTGCACTTCAGCAAAGGAAAAATGGAGTTGTACTCCCTTGTGTGATACACTCAAATAATGCTTGTTAATGTCTAACTCAGATTTTGGACACAGCACCTTCAATGAGAGGGGCAAATTTACATTTTGATGTGAAGAGCACACAGTGATGAGTAACATTTGGTGACAAAATACTGCCTGCCCTGTTTTTTTTCTACAACTTAAAGAGAAGAAGGAAGAGAGCGTATGTCTTGACACAATGCAGATATATCTCTTCCAAACTGAAAAACTTGTGAAAACTGATAATGCTTCCCACCTTGAGGCCACCATGCTTGCAAAAGCTTCAAGTGTTTTAGCCACAGCAGTTGTTCCCTAATGTCTGAGAATCCTGACTGTAGGTAGGCAGTCACCTCTGAGCTTCAGACTTAGCCTGATCATCTATGGAAACACTGAAACTCACCTCTGCTTTTAACTGTTGTGCACTTTCTATTGGTCCACTTGCCCTCATCTTCCTTCAGCTGTTAGCTCTCTTCCTTGTGGCTAGCATGATGGAGCCTGATTTCAGATTGTGGCTTCTAGATGCTATGGAAACAGAAATAAATATTTTTACTTTTTTTTCTTTTTTTTTGGTCTTTCTTATTATATAAGTGCATTAGTAACAATGCATGGCACAGGGAATGCAGTAATCGAATGTGCTGTGCAGAGCTTACTCTTTGTTGCTTAGCAATTAAATGTATGCACGTAGCAGCAGCACTGACAAAGATGCTAATAAAAAGTGACAAGTTAGATCTCCAGAAAAAAATACACGATTAAGAAAAAAATATCTGTCAAGATACTGGAGCAACAGCGAATGGTACATATGGGTAGATCGTGTCCCTCCTGAAGGCAAGATCTTCAGGTACTGACCACTAGAGGGGCTGAGATGATGGAAATAGAAGGTATCCACATTTATAGCATGGGCTACAGACACACAGTTGTGCAAACATCATGGTAAGGCTTTCTGTTGTTGTTGTTGTTGTTCCTCTATAATTTGTATTTATTTATATCCATAAAGTGTCTAGAAACATGTCCTGTTTCCTTTGTTTCATTTTTCTCCTCGTTATTCAGGTTTGCAGATTTTTCACAGCCTTTCTGTCTATCGAATTTCTGACTTTGCTAGCAGATCCTTGTGTCACAGTACATGGTTTTATTTATATAACATGATGCAATCTTTTGTGTTAATGTGAATGGAATTCTCTTTAAGACTGGTTCTTTATGAATACTAAACTGCTTCTCTTTATTTATTTACTTATTTATTTTTAATTCGGAGCAAACCTGAAACAGAGGAACTGCACTGTAGGCTGCAATTGTCAAAAAAGCCCAGCATTTAAATACTTCTTTCTATGTGGGATTTGTATGTTTAACCTTTCGCTCCTTCTCTCTCATTTTTAATCTTCCAAAATCTGTGTCACTTGTGTTGTGCTCAGGTAGTGCATTGCTTCTTGGGCTGGGTAACACTGATTATACACTTGCTCTGCTGTGGATAAACACAGTCATCAAGGGCTTTTTAGCGCTTTTTCCGAACTGGCTTGACACGTTGTTGCATGAAATTATTTTTACTACATTTAAAGAATCATTTAAAGGTTCAAAGTAAGTACTCTTAACACATTTATTAGTATCTGTGGTATTTAGCAAATATTTCTAGTTATGTGGAGTAGTTAAATAGTTTTTCTTCTAATAATTCTTTCTGCGTTTTAGAGCTTTTCCTCATTAGATTTCTGCTCACCAAAGTGCTGATTCTGCACTTGACAGTCTGCCTGCATAGTGAATTGCAGGATCTGGGCCCAATTTTGATCTATTTATATTATAGTCCATTTCATTTTAGCTGAATGAAAGTACTAATTTGGCTGTACTTGCTTTCAGCATTATCTCAAGTTGTGCCAAATCATCAGACAGTCCATTTGGAGTTTGGCGGGCTTTGCTGAAGCTCCTGCATTTTTGGTCAAGTGCTATTGAAAAAATGAGATTTACAAAAAAAGTAGCCTAACTCTTGGCTTGGTTCAGCAATTCCGGGTCTTTATCTCCAGCTTTAGCAAATAAGATAGACCCTGAATCAATGCAGATCATGTTGTATTCTGTGTTAACAAAATGAATTGGGCTTCTTTTAATTAATGTACTATACCCACTAAGAAATACAAATGAAAACATACAGTAAAAATAATAGTTAAAAATTGGAACATTCCTGACTTTTCCCCCCCACCTTCATTATGATTGTATTCATAGAACAGTTATTGAGATAACAATCTACACAGAGCAATCCTGTTATATGATGCAAACAGCAGAAGGCTATTTAATGAGGGTTTTTTTGAGCTAGTCCACCTTATGACACTTTACTTGTTCTGTATTTTTCCAAAAAGGAGTCTTTTAGCATTAGTTAAGCAGGCAGAAATTATCTTGTACAGATGCAACTATATTGCATTCCCAATCAGTGAGGGTAAGGAAATAAGCATGTATGACAGAAAAGAACAAGAAGAGCAGCAGATCATTGTGGTGAAATATTTTATGTGCATTTGGTTGTGATCTTTTTAACAAGATGTTTTACATCTAGCTCAGGACACTGAAACAAACATCCAGAAAAGACAAGATTTGAATCCACTGGGGTGTTTAAACCAAAATTTTCCTCTTCCTCCTACTCTAGTAAATGCTATCATGGCAAAATAAGCTTTGAGAGAATCACTTTGATTTGTGAAATACTTTTCTCCAAAGGCTGCATTTTGAAAGCTATTTCCAAATGAGCCTGTGCTACCCAGAAGTAGCAGAAGTATTTCATGTTCCAAAAAGATTTTTTAAACATATTTATGTATGCCTTCCTACCCGCATTACCTGCAATGACATGAAAACATGGTGTGTGTGTGTATACATGTAGGTATGTGTGTATACATGTATGTATGTGTGCTTGTATAATGCAAAAGGGAAAAGCAAATGCTTTACAGAAATGTCTACTTAAATGTCTGCCTGAAAATGTATGCAGTACATTCTTTTTTTAAATAGCCTCCTCCTGGTAGTACCTTCACTCAGATTCTCACCATTCCCATACAGTGTTCTGTAAATACCCTGTGAGAATGACTAGCGGGGAGGATGATCTTGCATAACAGGCAGCTGACTAATTTAGACCAGGAACATTGATCTACAATGACTGAAATAGTCTCAATCTTGCTCCGATTTCGACATTTGAAGTTTTGGCATCACACCCATGGATACTTGTGTAGCTGTCACCGGAAGTCACTGCTCATATATTTTATCATTTTCAGGTAGAGCAAGAGAAGGCTAATCCATTCCAAACATAAAAAAAAGTTAGAATTTTTGTGTCATATGTGTTCCTGACACAGAGAGGGCTGTGTTGAATTTTTGTGAACTATCCCTGCCCTATCCACATCTTTAAGACATACCATAACAGGCCCTCTTCTCCATCTTTCTAAGCATGCTACTCTTCCCTCCATATTTTATTCACCTTTCTAAGCACTGTATGTTGACCTAAGCTGTTCTTCTCTTTTATCCATTTAGATTAATTAATGTTTTCATAGAATGACTGCCCCCAAAAACTTATTGCAATAATCAAAATCTGAGGTCCATCTCTCACCTGTATTTTCTTCAGTTTTGGACTACCCAGGTAAAGCTGGGGAGGGTGGCTTGTGCTTCACAGGCACAAAAATTGAACAGTTTCTTTGGCCACCAGTGTCTTTGAGACATTGATTTAAATCAGTGCTGGACACTGCAAAGAGGCAGGACTTGATTGAGGACTGATCTGTTCTGGGTCTGAGGCCAAGGGATGAAGCTGAGCTTGCAAGGTGGGAATGCCTTTGAGTGTGATTGCTAATCACTACAGCCTCTTGGAGGTTAGCTCTGATGTTTTCATCTGACTGATATTCAACTCTTCCCATAGGTGTTGGTACATATTCACTGCCATTGTATGTGTATGTATTTGCAAACACATGTGAGAGTCTACTGGGGTCCTCTTTTGACTCCATTGGACTTTTTCTCCATCCGTGCTCTTGCACTTCTCTTAGAAGAGACCTTAAAAAACTTCCACTGTGCTCTTATGCATGTGCTACATAAATAGGCATACATCTTATAATCTTTGCTACCACAAAGATATGAGTCATACCTGCCAGAAATTTTGTTTTGAGTAACAGCAAACTGGATCTGAATTCCTACAGTAGGAAGAAGTCAGGGAAGAAATGACTGTGTAGTTTGCTAGTTTTGTTTTCAGCAATGAATCCTGTAAAATAAACAATTGTTTATTAAATATATGCCCTTAAAAGACACCCAAAACTTAACCTAGATCTGTAAAGTATGTTGCATTTGGATTTTGTCATTTAGATTTGTATTCATATTGCAAAAATACATCTAAAATGAGTAAAACACAGAAAACAAATAGGTTAAGAAATAAGCACATACTTCTGCAAATCATTTTTGTAAGAAAAGGAGTATTATTTTTTTCTCTCCCCTCAGTCCCCAATGTATCTTGCTTACAATAATCAGCTTAACAGTTTTAATCTTAACTACTTATACCTAACTTGCAGAATACATAATCATGGCAAAAGTAAACTAGTTTGAGTCCAAATTTTCTTCCTCACTAACAAACAGCAGAAGAAAGTGATGGGTAAAATTTAGGACACTATTGTATAATAAATGAGTAATCTGAGAAAATGTAATGCACAGACAACAGTCGCTCCTTGCTGTGCTGTTGCTCAGATACACAGCTTGTCTGAATCTAAACATACTGATTTATAAAAAGTGCAGGTTTGGTGATACATACCCCACAAGCCTGAAAAAGTGAACAGGAAGAATTATATTCATATAACTGCTTGCTGCCTGTTTGAAAAGGCTCTTTTAGACATACAGTAAGCTACAGTGGAGTTAAGCTTGTAAAATTACATTGCAATATTTGCTTTAGCCTGTGACTGGGAGAAAAGGGCTTTTAGAGACATCCACTCAAAGGCTTATTTTTGAAAATTTTTTTATCAGTGCAGAAGAAACTCATGGAATAACTTGACACAGTCCAGACCCCAGCAGTAGAGAGGATGAAGTTAGGCTTGCTTATAATTTTTAAAGTATGTGATTTGATGTTCCTAGATTATCAGTATTAATTTGTGATTGGAGATATTTACTGATGGACAAAAAGGAATAGCTTCGTCTTTCTTCAACAGAGAAGGCCTTTGCATCATAAAGGATTATAGACATTTGTAAGCCCACATTTCTCTTCACAGAGAAAAGCAAGGCAAAATTCTTCCCAAGAATACTTCTGGGTTTCACATTCTCTGAACCTCAGACAAAGAAAACACAATTCTTATCTTATTTGCTGTGTTGTGCCAAAGTAGAATGCAATATGGAGATTGTTTACCCAAAATGATGGTGTTTTGTTTCCTTAGCCTATCAGGGCCAAATGTGTGTGTGTGTGGAGACTGTTGGCTAACAGTCATGAAATTCAGTACAGTGGAGTGCAGTTGTGTGCAGGGTTGAGTGCTTAGCAGGTACAGTTTAAATGTAATGTAACATAGTGTGATATAATATAAATAATGTAGTATAATAAACTAATTAGCCTTCTAATAAGATAGAGTCAGATGCATCATTCTTCCTCCTTTTGTTGTGGATCCCTGCAAATACAATAAATGTTATTTTTAATAATCTCTTTTTAATAATTAATTTTTTTAATGTTTCTTTAACTTCATGTTCACTACTGGTGCTCTGTTTGATACTGAATATAGATTATCAAGATATTCGTGGGAAATACTCTGTATTTCTTATGAGACACAAGTAGTAAAGGAGTGCTGGAAGCCTTTGCCTGTGGGACCCATCAGAATTCTTGCAATCAGAATGAGAGTAAGCCTTCAATCTGTGTCATTTTATGGATGCTGCAGAGTCAGTCTGGCAAGACTTGGTGTGGGAGACCATTCAAACTGAGAGGTGGATTTCAGGGAAAGCTTGGCTTCATTTTCATCTGCTCAGCC